TGCAGAGTTGTAGGAACCGCACCTGCTGCCACACTGACTTGAAGACAAGGGGAGACCACAGTGTCAGCTGCTGGGGCGTGGCGTCCACAGTAGTAAGTGGCCAGCTTGTACGTGGGATGAGGGCTGGAGCACGTCAGGAAAGCCTCACGTGGGCAGGAGGCAGGCAGCCTGGGCAGTGGGGATTCAGAAGCTTCACTGACCCAGAGAGCAGATGGGCGGATGCGCAGTGGAGAGACACCTGCACGATGGGTGCCTGCATGCAGTAGGCTGGGATGGGGTAGAGACCTTGGCGAGGGAGAAGGCAGGCAGGGTTTGTGCCCTGCTCAGGAGACATTCATTTCTTGTAGGCAAAGGCCCAGCACCTCTGCTTCATGCCTCTAAAAACTGAACCCTAGGCTGGGATTTAGCTCGGTGGTACTGCTGTCTGCCTTGCAAGCGCAAGGACCTGAGTTTGATCCCCATTACCAAAGGAAAGAAAAGAAGGGAAAACCCTGGGAGCACTACTGAAGCCTGTTCCTAAGAGGAGACTCAGACTGAACAGGGAAGCCGCTGTCCCAGGGTGCCAAGGCCAGGGCCAAGTGTAGGGAGGAAGGGGCAGGTCGGTCGGGCCAGCGCAATCTTGAGAAGACAGAACCCACACCGGCTTCTCAGCAGGAGAACAGATGCCTTTAGGCTCTGTCTCGGGTGCTAGATGGATTATAACACCAGTTTTCAAGGTAAAGATCATACAAAGAAAGCAGGTTTTTGTTAACATTTCATTTTGAAAAGCTCTGGGATACTAAAGAGATATCTAGTAGACAAAGGGTGTTTGCTAGTGTTTCTTAGGTGTCCAGTGTGAACAGGGTGTGCAGATTTGTGTCTGTGGGAGCCCGAGGTGGACATCCATCAGAAGACCCTACCTGTGGAAGGCAGAGCCTGGTGAACTCATGGTCATTTCAGCAGGAAACAGGAGCGTCTGGTTGTGCAGCCCAACTCAGCAAGTCTTAGTGGGTTTGCCGGCAACGCAGGTCTTCGGGGGTCTTCTTGGTGGGTGATAGCTGGGTACGTGACGTCAGAATGCTGAGGTGGGGATCAGAGGGGATCAAGCCAGAGCATAGTGGGAATGGGCCTGGGTCACCGTGACCCTGCACCCATGGGCCGCTGGAGCCTGGAGCAGGCATCTTCTGCTGTGTTAGGGGGAAGTCGGGCGAAGTGAAGCTGGGTGCAGTGGATGCTGGGGGAGAAAACAGGGTTTCAGAAAGGCAGGACCACACAAAGTCCTGCTGGCCATGTGCTCAGCCTATTGTTTGCTTTTCCATGTGTCGGGGCTCTGTGGTCTGTAAGACGAGGAAAGGGAGCAGTTTGTTTCTTTCCACCAGCTCTGTAATTTGAATGCTTGTTCGATGAATGCAAGGATGGTTGGGTGATTAGGTAAGGGAATGGAACGAACGAGGTGTCCCTGACTTTAAAAACGAAAGCCAAGAGTGTAAGGAACAGCTGCACACCAGAATAGTCCCCAGATTATGCACTCATGTCATGACTTAAGATGATGAGCATCCCCTAACCTAACATTTCCAAAATCTGTTCTTGAACATCCACTCTATAGATGATAGATGTTAGCTGAAATCTTTAAGAATTGTGTTGGAGTCCAATACATTTGCTAAAAATCGCCTAAAATGAATTCAGATTAATTGCTTCACCTCAGAACTTCTCAGGTCTTTGAGGATAACTATTTTGCGGTATGAGTTCCTAGACCTTTTTTTTTTTTGTCTTGTTTTATCACAAGGCACAGGATTTCTGGGGAGGAGCCCTCTGATGTTCGTACTTTATTCAAAATTCTCTAAACAGCAAAGCAGGACACTGTACTGTTAGGACGGCAGTGAGAGTGCGAGCTGATGGCTGAGCGCACTCCTTGCTGCGCTGTCCAAAGCCTGCTGTCTCCTCAGTGGCCCGTGATGAATGCACGGCCTTGTTAACTCCCAGGCTGCTCTGGGTGTTCAGCGCTGCGGCTGACGATCCCCTTCTCATGGGATCCGAGTCCAGCTCAGGTCCAGTAGTGGTTCTAGACAGCTGCAGGATGACTGCTTTTGCAAATCACATCATTTATCCCCTCATGTGCACGTGCAGTGGGACATCTCTCTGGGGACCGAGGAGCACAAAGAGCAGCTGGGGTCTGGTGCGATCCGCAGGGGGAAGGCGCAGCTCTGGCTCCAGCCTGCCGGTCTCAGCTGTGGTGGGAGAAGCCTGGGGCCCTGGCTGGGGCTCCCCTCCTCGGGAGCCTTTTCCGGCCTAACACGGTGCTGCCTCTCGTACAGTGCCGCAGTTGTTCTGTTTCCCACGAATAGCTACAAATCTATCATCGAACCCCTACCTGGCCCTGTCTGGGACAGCCAGCCCTTGTCCCAGCCTGGCTGAGGCTCTCTGGTTGCTTTCCTCGGCCCCTGTCTTTGTCCTGTCCCAGGGCACTGACTTGTGCACTTCATCTGATCGTGTGCCACACACTTGAAAGCATCTGGAACTTCGATGTTTCCCGGGACAAAATCCATCATCAGAGGTCAGCACCATGCATGTCGTGTAGGTGAAGCTTTCTTAATTGAATTTCCTAATCTTGTCCAAAATAAAAGGCATTTTTTCATTTCTTAATGTCGATATACGATGATTGTTTTATTTGTGGAATAAGAATTCAGAGCCATTTATAAACATGAGCAATACCTTTTCTAGGCCCTCTTCTTAAAAAAGCAAATTAGACTGGTCTGAGGATGGAGTCCTATGAGATCCTGGATTAGAAGACATTTATTTACCTAAGTGTGGACTTTTATGTACTACAGTGGAGTGGAAAGTAAATGGAAGTATTCTCTGTACAGTATCAGGGAACTAATCCTGCCTGACCACGGTCATAGCTAAAAGTCACCAATAATTGTGAAAATGTTAGTGACATAGGAAGGAAATGGATGATTTTCAGAACGACAGGTGAAGCGTGAGTTCCCCTCTGTACACGGAGTCAGGACTGGAAGGAAGCTGTGTAGACGCACAGACGAGAACATGGGCATTGAAGGCCTAAATTCAGACGTAATCGGAATGAACTATACTCCTGTCACCTCTGTATCGGTGTGACGTTTGGGAAATTTGTCACCTTTGCTGTGTTCATATGTAAAAGGGGCCACCTCCACTTGGTGGTTGGTTGGATTGATATTATTGCGGATTCTGAGCACGGAAGTTCTCAGTAAACAGTAAATCCTGATAATTTTCTATTGGCCAAAGTGTAAATGTAAACTTCTGTGTAATATTAATAATTTTACTTAGCAGTGTTGCTATTCACCACTTCTAAATGTGTTTACAAAAGTGCATACCATGTGAAGGAATAGTCTGCACAACGCACAGGCTGTATGTGAGTGCGCACATGCAGTCCTCTGTGTCTGGCCTTCTGCCTATGGGGATCAATAGTCACAGGTTGAAAGTCCTCGGGGAAAATTCCACCAGTACAGAAGTGTACACATGTTTTCTCTTTGAAATTTCCCGACTGGAGGATGTGGCTGTTTCCATAACACCCGCATCACGCCATCGTCGGAATCGTCAGGGATGACACACGCCCTGGTGTGTGGGGTCCGAGCCCAGTCATGGTCAGATCTGATGCCACTGCGATAGGAGCATGGGCATCATGCAGTTGGTGTCCATGGCCCCCAGAACCTGTCCCCCATGCATGCCGAGGGTGATTGTGTTTGCATCCATCTTGATGGCCTGCGTCGCTGTCTTTTACTTCCTTTCTTGCCTGATGAACATTTCCTTAGGACCGAATGCTCCTGTGATGTCCCCCGTTAGCTTTCCCTCACTCCCCCAACCAAGGTTCCAGCGTTGCAGGGACCCTGGCCTCCCCGCTCTGATGCACCCTGTGCCCCTCAGTCCGGATGGCTGTCTGGTCACCAATAGTTCCTTCACTCACGTGTCCTTGCCAGAGTTTGTTCTCCTTCTGCGGTTGAGCAGAGACTTTGCCAGGAGTCAGTGCCATGTGGTTCTGGATGGCAGCACCAAGTACTGCAGGTCTAGGCCCTGTGCCATCCTGGATGTGTGCTGTCCGGGCCATGTGTGCCCAGTCACTTGTGACTGCTGTGACACCATGGCCATCCCCTGGCACTGCAGGGGTGCCGCACGGGCTGCAGTGTGCTGGATGCAACATCTCTGGGCTCCTGTGCTGTCTGCACTGCCCCCACCCCTGGTCCAGATGAGGGGACACATGGTAGCTCCACTCAGGGCAGTTCCAGAGCCCCTCCTGAGTGCCTGCAGACAGATGGACCTGCTTTCCACCTCCCCTGGCCTTTGCTGGCTTCAGGGCCAGATTCGCTTTGAGGTCTCCATTGTAACAGGGCCTGGACATGGGTGAGAAGATCTGTCTTCCAGCCATAGCTTCATGGAGACCTTCGTGTGTTTCCATTCCCAAAGCCCATGTGTTATTTCATGCCTGATGCATTCATCATGTTTTCTAAAGTCGTGGGCTGGAGTTTCGTGTCACTGGAGTGGACAGGGAGGGCACACGGCCTCCTCTCTGTCCCCCAGAGAGAGCGGTGTCACTCGTGTCCTCCAGTGTCAGACTTGAGCCCAGCTGGGCCAAGTCCCGCATGGCTCCTCTGCCATGGGAAGAAACATCCCGGCCTGTCGTTCCAGGGACAGCTCGGGCGATAGCCTAGTTGCAGACTCCAGAGAGGTCCTAGGTCTGAGGGAGGTGCTCATGTTTTCTGTTTTCCCTTCTAGCTCCGGTCTGCATTTGTGTGACCGTGTCTTCTATCTGCTGGTGTGTGCTCAGTTTTAAGCGGCTTAGCTGGCTTGCAGGCCACTGCATTTGTATGGATGTGTGGCTCTCTTACCAACAGTGCAGCACCAGCTTGCTTTGAGCCTGATGACAAAGTTCCTTGCTGCCTTCTGGGCAGAAATCTCGCTTCTTTTTTTTTAGTACCAGGAGCGGAACCTACTGTGAGATGGTGAGCCCCACACACAGGCACAGCTAACACCTCCGTTGTCCCCTGTAGCTTGAAGGGTGCTGACGCTGGCAACGGGATTCGAGTGTTTGTGCCGGACATCGGGATGTTCATCGCCAGCCTGACCATCTGGCTCGTCTGCAGGAACATGGTCCAGAAGCCTGCGCTGGAGGAAGCTGCCCAGGACACCCCAGAGTTTGAAAATGAAGAACTGGTAAATCCCGCGGCCCGATCTTCCCTTCGCGCGCCCTAGTGCCTGGCCTGGGTGGTGGTGGGTCACTGCACAGGTGCCTGTGTGGCCCACACCTTGGCCTGTGCTCTTGGCGGGAAGAGGCTGAGGCCCGGCCCCTCCCACCGCCCGCCATCGCCCACAACCGCCCTGCGTGGGACCGTGACCGCTTAGTCTGGGGGTCACCAGTGTGACTCACGCCTGGTTACTGAGGAATGCTCGGAGAAGACGGCCCGCAGTCCAGGGAGGGAGGTCTTCCTCGGCGGGAAGCCCCTCTGTCACCCTGCCCGCAAGTGCAGTGGAGCTCACTCCGGCCCGAGGAAGAGTGTGAGGACTGAAGGCAAAGGGAGAAGTACAGTGAAGCTCTCGGGAGTGACTCTTGGACCCGGAGCACTTTAGTTTTCACATTTATTTTTATTAGCACCTGTGTGCACTCGCGACGGGGAGTTGGTGCGTGGACACAACGCGTCTTAACCCTTTTCGCTTCCCCTTTCCCTCCCCCCGCGTCTCTGGGCCCCTTCCCATTTGCCAAAGATCTATCGCCCTGATTCCTATCGCTCAGTCTCTGTTTTGCTCTTTAAATTATTTATTCTTTGGGCTTCTCAGATAAGAAAAACATGATAGTTATGTTTGTGTGCCTGATTTATTTCACTTCACCTGACGGTCTCCAGTGCATTCATTCCCCTAAAATGACAGCAGTTTATTCTCCATGGCAGAGTAGTGCCCCATTACATTGAAATTCCACATTTTCTCATCCGTTCACCTGTTCATCGACAGTGTTTTAATATGTTTGGGTGGCATCGGTCCAAGAGCTCCACCAAAGCTCTTCTAGACTTTATAACCCAATTCAGTGCAGTAGCTGGATACCAGGTCGACACAAACATCCGTGGCTTTCCGAAAGCACACGGACAACAGGTTCAGTGAGACAGAAGCGGGGCAAACAGGTCCTTTCACAACAGCACCCAAAAAATCGACAAAAATTGAAATACCTAGGGAGCAACCTAACGAAAGAAAAGTCCTTGGTCTTTTTTAAATTAAAAAGAAGCAACATTTATAAAGAAAAATTTTCTCAAAAATATTTGATTTGGGCATTTGACTCAAAGACGCTTGGAACTAGCAAATGTTTTCTGTTACAAACTTTAGCAAGAAGTTAAACCAGGCATGGTAGTGTACTCTGGGAGGCTGAGGCAGGAGTATTACAAGTTCTACCCCACCCTGGACAGATGAGGGACTTAGTGAGACCCTGTCTCAAAATAAAAAGGGGTTCGGGATGTAGCTCAGTGCAAAAGCCCTGGGGTCAGTCCCCAGTACCACAAAATAGAAAAAGTAAACTTTTAAAGCTGACATTAATACAAATTACTTACTTGAGAATGTTAATCACTAACACATTAAAGGAAGAAAATTCTCAGTTATGGTAAATAATTTATGTCCTTTACCAATAAGCAGAAAATTACCTTGTATGATCATTTCAAAACAAGACAGTGAAAAGAGAATAAAATTCAATAAACTGATGAAAACTCGAAATTATATTATTGCCTGAAACCCTTAGGGCTAATGCAGTGCAGTCACACTGCCTGTGACTACTATGATCATTTTTAGGGCAAGAGAGGTGCATGGATAAAAAGTAATTGTAGCAGAGCAGCAACGAACAATATCTTGTATTCACATCTTGAAGTTCTAGAGTGGAAAAAACCGTGACTTTACAATTCTGTGGACGTTACCGTTTCAGGACAGGGAATTTAAACTTTGCATATCCATTTTTACATTTGAGTTTCATAATATAATATTTATAGTTTTGAAAAATATCACTTAAATAATCCTATTAAAAGTCACCCGGTTTGGCAGAAGGAAGCCAATCGCTCAGTATCTGAGCAGAGTTCTCCGCTGTGATCTCTGAAGGTGAGGTCACTGGCCTCAGGCGGAGGCCCGAGGGTCACTGTGGAAACCCAGTGGCGTCTGGGACGGTTCTCTGTCCTCCTGCGGAGGGGGCTGATGGCTGGCAGCAGTGCGTGCGCTTCATGTGTGCGAGGCCTCAGCTTCAGTCCCCAGCTCCAAGAGTAGAGTAAGAAGAGGCCAACGATACATCGCAGAGCTTTTGTCAATACCAAATCGAGTAACAGAGGAAGTGCACTAGCGCAGTGCCTGCTCGATCCCTCTCCCCATGAGAGGCAGTGCAGTTTCAAACTCGAGGTGTTCTTAGAAGTCCAGAAACCTAGAGTGAAACCTAGAGCGGGCAGCAGGTTTGCGCCAACCCACTTTGAGAAGGAATCTGCCGCTCGCTTAGCTGCCCAGGCGTGAGCTGCGGCTGGTCCTGAACAGACGTCAGCAGGGACGGGTCGGGCCAAGAGCCGGGATGGAAGTACCGGGTGGGGATAGGAGGAAGGCTCATGTGTGGGACGCAGAGACCATGGCGCCACTGCACGGACCGACTGCAGCCACATTTCCCTCCTCGACTTGCCTGTTTTCTTATTTAGACTCACGGTGCCTCTTTCCTATTTGAAACTGGTTTAAGTATCTAAACCTCATATTCGAGTAATCACATCATGTGAAGATGACAGTGACATAGGTTCCCTAGATGAACGTTTCTCATGCTGGGCCCTGCGGATACTGAATGCCTTGGTAGAGCTGTGTTTCTTCTCGGGAAAATTTGGTTTTGGCTCACGTATATATCACTTTCTGTGCTTGGTCCCTCCAGGCCACCGGCTAGCCCAGGAGGCAGGGAGGCGGCTGCGGCCCCTGGACTCACCACAGGGAACCGTCCCTACATGTGACAGCCGGCTGGCGAGTGAACGGAGTAGGAGGCCAAAGCCAGCAGAGGAATTTGTTTTATTTTTGAAGGGCCCAACTGCTTCCTGCTGCTGCTTAGAAATTTTGGCACCTGTGCTCCAGAGCATTTGGGTTTGAGGACCTTTGGTGTTTACTGCTAGTGCGTGTTTGTTCATTCACCTTGGCCAGCCGGGATCGCCCGGTGAGGCCTGGGAGGCTGCTCTTCCGGCAGCAAAGCCCCGGGGACCCCAGGTCTCCTTGATCGGATGGTGGGGCTCATGTGGGCTGGCTGCAGGGTGTTCCCAAACCCAGGGTTCTCTGAAGACCTCAGGGCCTCGCCTGGCTTCGGTGCAGCTGGGCTTTGCAGAGTATAGGGAGCCCAGCACGGCAGGGAAACCACCTCCTCCTGTGCTGGAGAAAGTCTTCTCAACAGACTCTCTGTGGTCCTGTTTATTTGTTCCTTTCAACTCAGAGCAGATCTGCCAGTCATAGATTCAGTCAAAAATTCCTACCCTGAAAATTTAGAAGTTGTATTATGAAAATTTGCTCTGTGCCTCAGCTTGCCCTCTGCTTCCTAGCATGTGATTCCCGGGTGCCGTGGCACCGCAGTCTGGCACAGAAAGTTGCCCGTGTTCCGAGCCTCAGGTGTCCACCCTGAGCCCCAAGTTAATGGCTATCCCAGAGCAGGTGTGAGGAGCAGGAAGAAGCCCTCTCAGGGCTCCAGCCTGACTCTGGGCTCCTGCTGACAGCCCCTGGCCCCAGTTCTGAGCAGGAGGACCACCCTGGGCCTCGAGAAGCCCCGCAGGCCTCACACTTCCTGGCTTTCCCTGGAGGGAAACCTGTTTCTGGGACTCTGTCCCCATGATGCTGTCCCCCGCTCTCATGGACAACTGCTTGGCTGTGGGGAGCTCTCACGGCTGGCAGTGGCGATTGCCATTGGTGTAGATGAGAGAGAAGGTTCCAGACTGGGGAAGTCGTGGCTGGCTTCTTCATGGAGAGGAGTTACCTGTGGCCCAGGGCGAGTTTTGTTCCCCAGAGCCTTCTGGCCACCTCTCCCTGGCCACCAGGTGAGAGTGCGGGTGCCACTCGCTCTGCCTCAGGAATGGCAGCCTGGGGAGAAGCTGTCCACAGCGCCTGCTGCACAGGAAGTCAGGGGCAACCTTTCCCAGCTGGGTAAAAATGCACTCGGTGACTCACTGAAGGGGCTAAGGACTGGGGCCAGGGTGTAGCTTGGTGGGAGAACACTCACAAAGGTAGAAAAGAGGATCTAGGATCTGGAAGTGACCCCAGTGCCTTTAAACTGCCATGGCCTTTGTGTCACCTCATTAATGTGGCCTATGTGTTCCACAGTGCCAGTCGTCTCTGCCTTCTTCAAGAAATCAAAGGAGCCTTTGACCTTTATGTTTCTAGATCAATATTGGTAGAAATTCTCAGAACGCTTTGTTCTGTTCCTGGAACACTTGATAAATGATTTTAAGCATTTAAATTGCAAATACCAACAAAGCATCCCATGGGAAATTTGTGGGAAACCCTTTCCTTTAGGGGGCTAAGCAGGCTAGTGGCCCCTAGGTGAGAGGACCTGCAGTGTCCCCTCACCATCCACATCACCCAGGAGCTCCTGGGCCTGCCTTCTGCCTCTCTCCTCCTGGACCTGGAAGCAGCCTGCACCAGGACAGTCACCTCCCTCTGCCTTCCCCATCCAGGCCCGGGTGTGACAGCCCCCAAGCTCCTCATCTGCAGTGGCAATGGCTGTGGCTCTACCTCCAGATTCTGTCCCGACTCTCTCTGTCCTCTGCCACTGTCCTCAACAAGCAGCCCCTGCCCACAAAGGGAGCCAGAAAGAAAAAACCCTCAGAGGAGCTCCCCACTTTCATCTTGCTTTATTTTGGGGTTTCCTGCGGTGTCCCTCAGAAGACCACCCAGGGGTTGAGGACACTGCCACCTCACTCCCCTTATGGTGAAATCACAGTGCATGGTGCACCTGGCCACACCCACACCGGGTGACTGGGCGCAGACGACCATTGCAGACTGGAGCAGCAGAGCCAGGGCCAGCTGCGTGTGCAGTACAGGCTGGGTGAGTGTGCAGGGCTGTGTGCGTGTGAGCACTGCTTTGGTTTGCACTGTCTCATTAGGTGTTCTTGTTTTTTATTTGAAAGCAGAATCTCTTTAAGCAAAGGGCCAGTGCCATTTGCTGGTCTCCCCTGCAGTCCTCTGCCTCCCAGGTATGGTCAGTGATCCTCTTGGACTGCTGGTGACACTGATGGTGGCCCAGCTCAGCCAGTGCGGGTCCCGGGGGCGGTTGCAGACTTCTTAGGAACACAGCCTTTGGGGTCCTGTGGCCACTGTACTAAGTGTCCCTGTCTCCAGCTTAGCCTGAAAGAGCGGGGAGGCTTCCACTGTGCACGTTTGCAGCGTGGCTGGAGGTGAAAGAGGCGCTGAGCTCAGTTTCTATAGCAGGTTTCCCATTGAGGGAGGTGCAAGCCAAGTCCAGCGGGATATGCCATGGCGGGCATCCACAGGCTGGAACCCCAGGACCCTGCCTTCTTACACACCCCCAACTCACGTCCTGGTTCCTCAGGTGAAGCCTGGGTACCTGTCCTTTGGATGCCCCGCATGGCCCTCGGGTCTTGGCCACAGACACAGCCTGTTTTATGCTGGGGCCAGACCAGTGTAAACAGTATTGAGTAGAAAGACAGCATGCGGGCTGGGGCTGCCACAGGTGGGAGGACACTGTGAGCAGGAGGTGACCGTGGGGGAGTGACCGCAGGGAGACTTGGAGGCTGCTGTGTGCAGAGACTGCAGAGACCACAGGATGCATGTGGAGCTGGGTCCACGTCCTTCCCTGGAACTTTTATTTAACTATTAGTGTTCAGTTTTTTCTTTTAAATTGGCCAAGAGTGGTTGTCTGCACGTTTATGGGTCGCAAACAGTGTCCGTGTTCCTGTGCCCATGCAGTAACAGAATGACTGGATCACACCAGTCCGTACACTGCGCCTGCAAAGGTCACTCGTGCTGAGAGCACATGACATGGGCATTGAGCCCAGACATCACGTGCAGTGCTCACTGAGCAGAAGTTGCAAGGCTGCTGTGCCTCCTACCCACGCCCTTGCTGACCGTTAAGCCCCGCAGCTTCCGCTTGGAGGGGACTGTGTCTGGCCTGGCAGCCTGCACGCAGCGAGAGCCCTCTAGTTTTTGTGTTGTCGTGAATACCGGGATTGCCGTGGAAGCGAGGCAGAGGCCTCCAAAGCTCTTGGATAGGTTTTAGATCAGGCGCCATCACAGCTCCAGGAGAATTTCAAGTGGACATCATAAACCCTGCTCTCCGCTGCTCCCATGGTCACCTGTGGGCTCCAGCTGTGCCCACTGGCTGGAGGGAGCCTCCCATCAGTGCTCACAGCATGCGTCCTCGCCTGCCTTGGATGGTGCCTGAGGCTGAGCCTGTGGGACAGGTGGCCCCAGGGTCGCCACCTCACTCTGGCAGCCTCTGCTGAGCAGGTTTGTGAAATGTCCACCCGGGCCCAGGTCTGGTGTGGCTCGCTGGGAGGCCCGAGGCTTCCTCGATTTGAGCACATCTGAAGTACAGGAAGTGTGCATGAAAGTCAGTCACCGAGGGTTCTGTAGGAGACCCAGCTGGCACCCCGACCCCTCTGTTCTGCTTTATTTTCCCGAGACGGGGCCCCACTGCAGAGCCCAGGCTGGTCTCAGACGCTGAGCCTTTCTCCTGCCTGAGCCTGTCAAGGGCCACCAAGAGGTGGCCCTGTGCACACACTGTCCTGCCTCCAGGAGGCTGCAAGTTGCAAGGAGAACCTGGCCAGGTCCCTGCAGACCTCCTCCTGGCTGCAGAGAGGATAGGAGGAGGCGTGTCGCCGAGAGCAGACAGCCAGGCACGTGGCAGTGTGGGCATGGGCCCTCATGGGTGCATAGACTCTTGAGCTGAATGTCCCTCGAGAACCTGTGGCCTGGGGGCTGCAGCATTGCTTTTCCCGAAGTCAGGCATGGGGCTGAGGACGCAAAGCCCCCGGCCTGGGGATGAGTCACAGTCCCCTTCTGTCTCAAGATGATGGTTTCCATGTATGAGGCCTTCAGAAACCTGGCTCGGTGGGGAAAGACGATCATTAGCACCTGATTTTCTGTTTAGTCTCTAAAACTAACAAGTGAGCAAACAGCATCTTTGCACTGAAACGAGAAACGTGTGTGTGCACGCGGACGTGTGAAGGAGCACGCCTCCCCGGCTCTCTACGACCCTGCCCTGGGCACAGCTGGAGTCCTTCCCCAGACGGATGAGCCCGGAAGTGCCTGCCGGGCCAGGAGATACTGAAGTGGCAACTGAGATAACCTCAGAGAGCAGAAGGGCTGCCTGAAAACCACACCACCCACAGCCTCAGAGCTGTGGCAGCATTGTTCTAGCAACCAGGAGGAGCAATGGAGAAAGACCGAACCCAGACTGGCACAGCTGAGATGACTAGCAGAGAAGCCAGGCATGGTGGTGCACACCCGTAATCCCAGCCCTGTGGTAGGCTGAGGCAGGAGCATCTCAATTTTGAGCTTAGCATGGGCAACTTAGCAACTTAGACCCTTCCCCACAACAAAAGGGGCTGAAGATGTAGCTTAGTGCAGATGCCCTGGATTCAACCCCCAATACCTGAAAAAGGAAAGGAAAGGGAGAGAGAAAGAGCACAGGTACTGATGCCCTGGCGAGGCCTCCAGGGCCCTGTGCTAGGAACACCCTGCTCAAGTCTTCAGGGACGACCTGAGGGACCAGCATTGAGGGCCAGCACGGGGTGGCAGGGGCTGGACCGGGCGTTTCCTGCTTTTCACCCCACAGGCCAGAGGAGAGAAAATGGACTCCAAGGAGGCACTGATCGAGGATGAGGACCTGGACGGGGCTGGCGTGGAGGACACTGAGGGGGAAAACAGCACCCGGCTGAGGCTGTTCCGCCAGCTGGCCTCGCTGGCCTCACGACTCAAGGAATTCGTGGGCAACATGATCACAACGGCCGGCAAGGTGGTGGTCACCATCCTCCTGGGCTCCTCAGGTGAGTGTGGGCAGGGACAGGTATGCTCTGCCCCACCTTGCAGGGCCCTGAGGCCAGCCGCAGGCACAGGCCAGTGGAGGCCACTCTGTCCCATTCTGGTCTGGGCATGGTGGTTTCTGTTCACCTCTTTGAAGTACTGTTTCTTGTCTCAGGGGCACACGTTATGAGCTCAAGTCAGAGTCACAGCCATGCCCCGCCCCCAAGCCACGAGTGTGGCACTGCCATAGTGGGCTCTGGGTCTGTGGCCTGCAGCGCAGGATGCTGTCAGAACTGAGTCCTCCAGATTGTCCCCAAAAGTGGCTGAGATAAAATTACTCCACTGTTTTTGACTAGGGAAAAAAAGAATTTCTCAAGAAATAAAACTCAGTGTTAATCAGGAGTCCTTTCAAATGCCTGATAAAATCATCATAACATCTATAAAGCACTAGCCTCTTCTTTTGTCTCCTCTTTGTGGGATAGGAGGAGGATGTGAGGAGACTTCAGCTGCCCAAGTGTAATATTATTATGACTGCTACTTAACTAAGAAGTAGGTGAAACAAGGTGTGTGGTGCTGCACACATGTAACCACAGCACTTGGGAGGCTGAGGCAGGAGGGTTGCTCACAGTTGGAGGCCACCCTGGGCTACACAGTGAATTCAAAGCCAGCCTGAACTGCATAGGGAGACTCTGTCTCAAAAAACAAAACAAAACAAAAAACTAAAAAGGGAAATCATTCTAAAGAAAAAGCCGTGATAAAGTTGGAGCAGATGTGCAGTTGTTCCTGAAACATCTAAAAGAGAAATCTCAAGAATATGCAGATTCTCCTGGTGAGAAAACAGCATCCTTAGCTCAGAGAACCTGGTAGAATCTCTCCATCATCTTGTCTTTCCTAGAAAACTGTTGCTCTCACGTGGTCTTCACCACAAACACAGCACTGGCTTTGATTGCATGACTAAACTGTGGTCGCCTCAGTTCCTGTGGGTGCAGGGTGCCCCAGCTCCCAGTCACTACCACCTGTTCCCATCTCTGTCCCCAGGCATGATGCTGCCCTCGCTGACCTCAGCCGTCTACTTCTTCGTCTTCCTGGGCCTATGTACCTGGTGGTCCTGGTGCCGCACATTTGACCCACTGCTGTTCAGCTGCCTCTGTGTCCTGCTGGCCATCTTCACAGCCGGCCACCTGATTGGGCTGTACCTGTACCAGTTCCAGTTCTTCCAGGAGGCTGTACCCCCCAATGACTACTATGCAAGGTGAGGGGTGTGGGCAGTAAGGAGGGGCTATGCTGGCTCCTCCCACTGTGATCACCTTCATTGTTGAGCAAAGACGAAGACAGGGTGGGGAAGCCACTGTCTCAGTTACTTTTTCATTGCTGAGACAAAATACCTGACACTCACAAGTTAAAGAAGGAAAGGTTTATTCCAGCTCAGTTTGTAAAGGTCTCAGTCCATAGTTGGCTGGTTCCAAGGCAGGGTGGCTTGGCAGAGGGGCATCGCAGAGGAGAAACAGTGCATGGCAGGGTAAGCAGGGAGCAGCAGCAATGAGCACCCTTTCCCTTTTATTTCATCCCGGCTGTATTGGTTGGGGTGGACCTTCATATTACCCACTCCAGAACTATGCTAAACCAGTGAGTACACTGACTTAGCTATGACACACCCTTAACCCATATCCACACACCGTAGATCCAGCCATCTCCAGAAAGTTACACCTATGAGTATATGAGGCTTTGGAGGCACATCTAGTTACAAGTCATGGCGGCCACCTAGCACTTTAAGGACAACTCAGTCTAGAAGGAAAAAATGGATCTCTTCACTTGGAGGTGCTGCTGGCCAGGAAGAAGGAGCCCTGCTGTTTGTGGCACCTGGGGCCGACACCGGTCTCTTGGAGGCATACTACTCCAAAGAACAATTAGACAGTGTCTCCAGCAACCAGCTAGAAAGAGCTTGCACAGACCACGGGTATGATTAGCAAAAACAGGAATGGGTTCATTGTAAACACTGGAAAGTAACAGTACCAGTGGGCATGGTGAGAGAAATTGCTGATAATTTGCCTCAGTTCCAAGTGACCATTGCACCAATTCCTCACTGTGAGAATGTGACTGAAGGTAAAGAATCCAGAGTAGACTTTGATTCTTTTTAGGGATTCTAAACCATTCTGAGAGAGGGAAACCTTTCAGGATAACAGGGACCAATGAAAGGGATAGAAATAATAAGATTAGAAAATTGCTGTTTATTAATCCTTCATGAACTATTTGATTCTGGCCACTGCCTGAGATTGCTGCCCCCATGTTGGTGAGGATGGAGGGTCTTGACTGCCAGTCATTGCAAAGGGAAAATCGTGGTTCACGTGACCAGCACATGACCACCTGACCACAGCCCACTCCCAGGGAGGGAAGCTTGACGTCCGTCTTGGTGTGGTGTGGTGTGTGACATCTGTGGCTGCCAGTGACAACCCTCAGACCTGACTGCCAAAGCACAGGCAGGAAGAGGACAGAGATGGCTTTAAATGGCTCCGTGAGAAAGACGGCCAGAGCAAAACTGGAGTGTGGTCACACGGCCAGTGGGTGTGTGTAGGGTGGGGCGAGTGCCCTCGTTACAGGAGTCCAAGACACCCACAAGCACATGTGCATCTGCAGATTTGATGGCTGGGGTCCCAGCTCAGCAACCCATTTTTAAGGGACATTTCTGGTCAGTGGGGAAATTTGTGTCAAGTGGATATTAGGTGCTGGTGTCACTGACTCGGGGCCAGTGCGTGAGGGTGCGGCAGCTTGGAGGGAAGGCCCTGTCCTGAGCGTGGCCTGGGGGCTTAGGTAGTGAGGTGACACTGAGGCTTGACTCGGATCCAGTTGCTGGGACTGGTGATCACTGTGGAGTCCCCCACCATCCTGGACAGCAGAGTGGTCCACAAGTGCAGGAGACAGGGAGGTAAAGGGGCAGGAGTGTGCGGATGCAGGGCTCTGCCGTGTGAAGACAGCTCCAGTCCCCTCCTCCGCCGTGCCCTGGGAAGCAGGGTGAGTCCCACCCTCTCACTGGGAAATGAGGGGCTGCATTTTCACAGAACACAAACCACACCACGTGAGCAGGGCAGGCTTGCAGCCTTCTGTGGGTGCCTTACACGGTTTCGTGTGACGGTAAAGGTGAAGGAAGGTGCAGTGCGTGCTTCCACTGATTTCTGGGCAGAATCGGATCACGAAAATACTACTTTGTGTCTGTGTCCACACAATGCAGACATACAATATATCAGTCGAATCCCAAAACCACTTACATGCAGTGAAATAAAAGCCAGTGCCCAACACGCACATGCAGACTTAATTCTAGATCCGGTTGGCTCGCCTGGGGTAGAGCTGGAGATGTCTAACTGGTATGCGTGCAGCGAGGGCCCCTCAACAGTGCGGTTACACAGTGTTTATTTTAGCAGGAGGGAACGAATGCTCGATTTCAGTACAGCCATTACTTCTGCGCTAAATGGGTCCTGCAGTTTCTTTTAGACATTGAATTCTTAGTTTATTGAACATATACAGAAAAAAAAATACTTTGTTCTGTGGAAAGAGCAGCCTTGGGGGGATGGCATTTGGAAATGTACGTATCTTGGTGGGGCCATAGTTAGGGGTTGGGGCTCCTTCTCCCTGCTGGTTAAGTATCTTTTCTGCCATCTAGAGCTGATTGTAGAAAATATAGTGGCCTCGGTTCATGAATTTAATTCCTTGCCTGATTCTGGAAAAGATTGCCATGCTCCTGTTCATCACCTAGTGAAGAGTTCACAAACAAAAATAAAATTTGCCAAATACTTCTGTTTGCAAACCAAAGCATTCATGAATGGAGGTGCCACTGTACAAGGAATATTTATAACTGGCTCCCTTGAAAACCCTTGTGTGGATCAGGCAGCTTCTGTGTAGGGTCAGTGAGCAGGTATTTTAAAACTTCATAAACTCTGAAATTTGAATTCCATATTTCATCACATTTCATGAAATATTTTCCTTTGTTTGCTCCAGCCCTTTGACAACATCAAACTCATGAGTGACTCATAAATTATAGAGACAGGTGGAGGCCCAGGCTCGGCCCTGGGGCGATGGTGTGCCTCCTGTGGTGTAGACAGTGGCTGTTCTAATGGTGTTGCCATGGTTGCTTTTCCATCTGAATTGTCACAAACTGAAAAGCATACTTGTCACTTCTTAGACAAGGTGTAGATGACCTGTCCCCCAGGTCAGAGTCTGGTCCTGTCCTCTGCTGCACTGGGTCACTGAGAGTCAGGCAGCTCCTCAGGACATGGTATCTGAGCGGATCAGTGCAGTCTATAAATTTCCTGTTGCAGGTCCCATCCATCCCTTAATCTGTGATAATGAGACCTTGTCTGTTATTCTTTTAGATCTTCAGAGTTAACATCTTTAAAATCATTGCTTTCTGCTAAGGAGCAATTTTAATTCCTTGCTATTAGCCCCAAAGTCTAGGTTGGAAAAAAATCAAACTGTAGATGAGCATAGATAGATAAGTGGGTGGATGGATGGATGGGTGGATGGGTGGATGGGTGGATACATGGATGGATTGGCGGGTGGGTGGATGGATGGATGAGTGGGTCGGTGTATGGGTGGGTGGGTGGATGGGTGGGCGGATGAATGGATGGATATTGTCCTTCAGAGATCTTTATCACAAAGATTGAAGCCACAGAGACTCTGGCCCCTCCATCCAGCTTCTAGACACAGCTGCCATGGAAACCCTCCAGGGGTGCTGGTCCTCTCCAAGGCTACCTGGTGGGCACTCTGATGAGAGTGATCCTTATTTTTAGACACATTGAATTGATTTTTTTATTGTCATTGGTATAATACATGATTGTTAGGGATTATTTGAAAACTAAGAGGGAAAGCACTTTTTTAAAATGTAATTCTAACTCTCCAAAAGAAATGTTACTGATTTGTCATCTGTATTATTTCAGTATTTTTCCTTTTATACTTTTTTTTTTTTAAGATTAACTTTGAATCCTGCTGGGCATACTGTTTTCAAATGAGCCTTACTCTCCTGGGCACTGCAGCTTCCTAGGCTGTGAATCTCCCAAGTGTGCTTTCCACAGGATGGAAAGCATTTGCTATACAGCTCTTCTGTGCCTGAGCCCATTACTGGGTTGTCATCAGGCTGACAGTCCCTCCTTTCTGCTCTATGCTAGGACTGGCATCACATTACCTCTAAATGTGAATAAACTCATAAAAACCAAGAAGCAGGCCCGCAACCCTGCTTTCTCTCAGCTATGGGGGAGCCCCCAAGGGTGTGCATACTGATTCTGTATGGGGATCCCAAGGTCGTGGTCCTCAGCCAACATCCTGTTAACTACTGGTTTGTGATGCCCTCGACACACAGGCATTACCTGCTGAGAGCCTTGCCTCCTGTGAGAGTTCATCATGATTACCAACTTGATTGGCTGGACAGATGCCTGGCAGAGCAGTGGAACACACCTCTGGGTGTGCCTCAGTAGGCCATGGAGCAGTGACCTTAGGGACTGGATCGGGTCCCTGCCCACTTCTCTTGGGCTCGCCCTTGCTCTCTGCTTTGCAGAAGCCATGAATTGAGTGGCTTTCCTCTTCCACACCCTTTGCCATGATGGCATCCTTGGAGCCAGCCAACCATGGACTGAAACCTCTGAAACCATGAGCCAAATAAACCCTTTCTCCCTTTAGCTGTGCGTTGTGCCCCAGCAGTGGGAATTTGACTTGTATTCCTAGACTGGCACAGATGGAGGGTATCTGTTGTTTTCATGGTGAGCCTGTCTTTTTAACCCCGTGGACGCAAGAGTCATCTGGCTGTTTGCATACCCGCTTGAACTTTAGTGAAATTTTCCCATCAGTTGTATCCAGCAGAGGACGTGAGAGCTGGACTCAGGAACATGTGGGAGAGACCAAGGCTGCCCAGAAGCTTGGTATGACATTGTGTCGGGAGAGAGTAAGTGATGTCTTCCATCTGTGCACACAAGAGTGGCATGGCAATATTTTCCAAAACAAACTACAAGACTCATTGTTTGACAAGGAATGTACTTCCAGGAAGGTTAAGGCAGTGTCTGAAAGTAGGATTATTATCCTTCCTGAATCTGAAATGCTGTAGTCTATTACAGCCCTAAAATTATTAGTGACTACACTTTTGAAGTTGATCCAGCAAAACAAAGCTTCAAATGAATCCACATAACTAAATAAAGATCCATGTATACCATTAAAATAGCCAATCTAACAGGCTAGAGGCCTATTGAGACTTACTGTGCCATGTCTCCCTAA